AGATAAAGAGTTAATGTTAGTAGAAAATTATGCATTAACTACAGATAAAAGAGGTTAATGCAGATGAATTTCATTGGATCATAGATACAGTAATTACAACTCATTTCCTTAATAACAAAAATTTAATTATAAATGTTAAGGAAATAGATGATATACATACATTTCTAGTTGTTGGAAATTGTGAAAGTAAAGTACTTGGAAAAGATACCGTCAAATTTGCAGAAGTAGACAACCAAGATAAATTGGATTCAGTTAGAAAATGTAATCTTTAATCCAAAACAAAGAAATTTACAATCGGAAGCAAGGTTAAAAGAGGCAGGTGCTCATCTTACAAGCTCAAATAAAAAGATATGGATATATTTTAATAATTGAGATAGATTATGTTCCGCAAAACGACATAACAGACTCTATCACATGAAACTACTTAAGTATGCAATAGATAAAAAGGAAGCTGGTTATGGTACAGAAAATGGAAAGTTAAATAAAGTAGATGATGCGAAACTATAGCATCAAAGATTTTGCCACCATAAATTTTGATCATATACAGAATACTAGTAAAAACTAAAAAAGGTTTACCAAAAATCGAAAAACCAGTGAAAAAGTGTGAACCTTGTATTATTGCTAAATCTAGTAGAATAACTTTAAAACTGCTCCTAAGAGATCCAAAAAATGAATACTCCTGAAAAGTTAATTTTGCAGAAAAGAGGGATAGTTCTGTATCTGACAAGGCAAAGTCTGTAGAAATTATTATACCACAAAATTTCAAAGAAAACGGGAATCTGTAAATGCCAAAGAATAGTATAAAGCAAGGGAAGAAATTAACACAATGAAGAAAAGGAAGGTCTAGGAATTAGTTGAAAAGCCAGAAAAGAAACATATGGTGGGAAACAAATGGGTCTATATGCAAAAAAAAAAATTGAAAAGAATAAAGTAGCTAGATATAAAGCGCGTCTAGTCACACAGGGATTCAGGCAGAAAAGAGGTGAAGATTTTGATGACATTTACAGTCCTGTATAGTAAGTTTATCAGTCAGAATATTTTTTAGAATACTAGTATGTTTGTATGCATGTACTAACTGTCAGTTAGACATGAAAAATACATATTTATATGCTAAGCTCAATAAGAATATATATATATGACCCAGCCAGAAGGATTTACTGAAGAGAAAAATGAAGTGTGTTTATTACACAGGGCCAGACTGCATCAAAGCGGCTGTGAATGGTTTCGTGAATTTTAAAATACTGTTGTGTGTGTACGAGTTTATAATAAATTAAATGCACAAGTCTGATGAAAAGTGAATAAAATTTATTCTTATCACAACAAATAAAAATAAAATGCTTAAATTCCCTTAGAGATATTCTACTGGAGATATCGTAATATCTCCCAGTAGTTATCCTTTAAACTACTAAAAGGTTACTTAATTCAAAACAGAGAAAGCTAAACCAATTTCACCGCGAATTCGCTAAAATCATTAACAACAATACGTGAACAACTCACAAAACAACCAAACTGAGATGTTTTCCTCCGGCTTTTATGAGCTATTTAAACATGCATGAGAAACTTCTCGTATTTTCTCGTTTTTCTGGATATTAAAAGAGTACAATTATGAGATAACTATTATTAAAGTGTTAGATGTGTGTGCTCCTGTATTTAATTTTTCTGCTATAGCTTTCTCTTCAAATAAGTCTTTGCAAGAGAATATACACCAATTTTAATAACAATTCTATTAAAAAAATAGCTAAATCAATACAAAAACCATAACACTGCCCCCTTCCCAAGGACTGCAACGTCCCAGGCAGTAAGACTTACAACCAAGGCATCAATGCAATAATAAACATAACATTACAATAACAAACAGCATAAACAATAACTGGTATTCAAAACTTTTGTAACTGGTATTCAAAACCCCACTCCTGACACCAAAAAGTGTTGCGTGTGTAGGGGTCCATAATAAATTAAATGCACAAGTACGATGAAAAGTGAATAAAATTTATTCTTATCACAAAAAATAAAACAAAATGCTTAGAGATATTCGTACAATATCCCAATATCTCACAGTAGTTATCCTTTAAACTACTAAAACGTTCAACAGAACTTAATTCAAAACAGAGAAAGCTAATCCGATTTCACCACGAATTCGCTACAATCATTAACAACAATAAGTAAACAACTCATAAAACAATCAAACTGAGATGCTTTCATCCAGCTTTTTAAACATGCACGAGAAACTTCTTGTATTATCTTGATTTTTCTGGATATTAAAAAAGAGTACATTACGAGATATCTATTATTAAAATGTTTGATGCGCAATTTAATTTTTCCATAGTAGCTTTATCTTCAAATAAGCCTTATGCTGCATTGCACGTGCACGGGAATATAAAACAATTTTAATAACAATTCTATTAAAAAAGTATCTAAATCAATACAAAAACCGTAACAATACTTTAGAAAATCTAGATTTTAAGAACATACTATGGTTTAATTGCATTTATAAAAGCTCTAATGTAATCCTCTTATTATATGTAAATAGTATTGTAATTTTTAGTAAAGATCAACAGCGTATAGATAAAGTAATCTCACAATTGAGGAAGTTTTTTTAATCTATTAAGGTATTAGGCAGAACTAGAAAGTTACCTGGAATCGAATTTTTAAAAAACGATAAGGGGCTTTCATAAATCAGCAAAAATACAACAAAGAAATTTTTGAAAAATTATTTTCAAATACCAGTAACTTCACTTCCCATAGTTAAAGGCACTATTCTTACAAAGTTAGATAGTCTGTATATAAGTGCAGAAATTCGATATCACTTCATTAGAAGTTAATAATGGGATGTTTGGCCTTTAATTCATCTCCACCCAATTAAATACTGTGGACTTATTTATGAAAGCTGTAACAGCTATTACCTTGAAAAGTTTTGTTTAACTGTTTATAGTATTTTAAGAACAGCAAGTATTGTGTCGACATTATAGAACCAAAGTATGAATTTTTTAAATTACATGCAAGTTTTCATTTTTTGGCTTGCATGAGGAAAAATAAGCTACTGTTGACTTGATGTTCTGTTGTTTTCTTCATGCAAATTAGATCAGAGGTCAATCGGCTATAAACTAACGTGGTTATTGCTGACTGGTCAATGTGTTGCATACGCGAAAGTGGTGAACGCGAGGGAATTCGCCGATTTTCTTTTCTCTTTTGTTGTTTTTAATGAGATTACTGTTACAGCCTAGATTATTTTATTTCTGTTTAGTAAATAAAAATTGGAAACATTTGCTCCACAGTGCTACAATATTTCAAGTACAATGCAAGTATGATGAATGCCTTTTCTTTTAATGATAGAATTCAGTAAAATCCTAGTATACAGTGCGGCCTTGGTGCGACTGAAAATTGTCACCAACACCAAAATGACTCATTTACAGCTCATCATAAACACCACATTTACTGATCATCCTAATGCTGGCAAATGCTGCGTGTACCATACACTAGGATTAAACCAAAAATTCAAACTATGATAGACTAGTTTGTTTTTTTAAAAAAAAGCTCTGTTTTCTCAGAATCTAATGTAGGTCCTCCCTCCAAAAAAGTAAAACACTCATATTTCCCCCCTGAAAAACAGGCACCCATGTTTGACTTCCAAAAATATTTTAATGTATTTTTGTTACTTGAAGAAAAGAGATCTGTATCATACTTTCCTTAAAATTTCTAACTTTTGACAACTTCACTTAACTTTATTCAAATTTTGATTTTCTTCACTTCTACTTGTTACACACCCATTGCAAAACATTCTAAAAATTAAACAGAAATTTTTGGGTGTACTCTTCTGTTACCGGGACCAGATTCAGAAATATATGTACGAAAAGCACAAATGTACATATGTATGTGTGTATGTGCATACACACATATGTACATATAATACATGCAAACATGAACACATACATACATACATTTCTCAGTCTGGTCCTGATAAAAGAACGGTACCACTATTACCAAACAAATAAATGCTAACCCTTAGATTCCAGTAATAAAGTAAAAGAGATTGTGAACGTCAGTGAAAGATCAAAAGAAATTAAAGTATGAACTTTTTCTTTTTCTGAAACACTATGAATCGAATTTCTAAGTGAATAATGCATATAAATTTCAGAATACCCTCCTTCCCATTTTCTTATTCTTGATATTGCAGAAGATAATTACCATACATAATCACTAAAATATACACAATTTGTATGGTATAACCTAAAGATCTACATAAAAATTTAGATATTTGTTAAAAGTTGTCATGAAATTAAATGCTTTTTTGAAATCAAAATTATGCGAGAATATCCGAGTAATTTTAAAACTTTAAATTTTTAAAACTAAACTAACACACATTTGTTTTTAAAATACTACACTGATAAGCAACAATCATTAAATTTCAAACAATAAATATTGTTTTCTTTATGCTTTGCGGTAAAAGAATCATTTGAATTACCATAAAGAAGCAAGCAAGCATTTAGATATGAATCTTTAGAAATTAAATGAAAGTTAATATGAAAATACATGAAACTAACAGCGAAAATCATTTACTTTGCATTAACAGACAAACAATTTATTAAGTTATTTAGGTTAGATAAACAGTGATGTTATGAATTTATAGGTAAACTATCTTAAAAGTTTACATTTTGCACTTTTTAGACTATATTGTGTGGAAAATGTGATGAAATTTGTTTACCGGTACGAAAAAGTAACAATAACAAACCATCATACAGCATGACGCAAGGTTAATCGGCAAAACTGTTTACATTTAAATTCTGATATAACAGCAATCAATAATACGAAATATGATCCACAGATTTTATTAAAATAATCTTCGAAATACGGATAAAAAGGAAAATTTTAAAAAGTAATAAAAGGTAAATACGTATATGACAGAACGTTAAGGTTTAATACTTGTAAGAGAATCATGGAGATCCCTGGGAGAAGGCATAGAAAATATCATTAAAAGCCATTTTTTTCTCACTGTCACTTACCTTGACGTCCAACAATTTCAGCAACATGCTCCGAACTCGGTACTGGAACACATTCTGTAGTATTTTGGCTCTTCTTACTTCTGGATTCGGATTCATAACCTCCAGAACTATAACCCGATTCGCTTTCGTTTCCCAAAGTGAACATCGAGAGTTCCATGGCTAATTGAAGTGCTCTCTGATCTTCCAGAATACTGATACTGCTGCGTTCCATTTCAGTAAAGAGACTAGCTGGCATTGTATTTTCTAAGCACAGATTAAGAATGGTGATTAAGTATTTGTATAAAAATAAGCTAAGGATGCCAGGAGCAAGCCTTACATCCAAATAGCAGCTTTAACACAAAGAACATATTCGATGCTCTGTCCAAATAGCCGACGGTCGTGCCTACTTCTCTGGGACAAGATCCTGACGTCACTGAAGGGTTTGGCGCCACTGCAGAGATAGACGGAGAGAAGGGCGGGGAAATAAATTTAAATCTGATTGGTTGTAATGCCGCGCGTAAGGCGGAGTTTACTTTTGATTGACTTTCCATCCTAGAGTTCCTTTGTGCTGAGAGTCGTCTGAGCAACATCCGCGTCTGCGCGAGCTTGACGATAGCATCCCTTGAAATTTTCTCTTTCTTTTTGGTTTTGATCTTGAAATGCGCTGCGCAAAGTGACCTTGAATTCTAGTATGAAAGGAGCAGAGGAGTGAATGCTCTCTCTCATCTTTCTTTTTTCTTACAATCCGTTTTTCTTTATTCTTTTTCTTTCTTAAAGTAATTACGTTTATCGAAATGCAGTTTGGTCACTTTGGAGCATACGTCTATTAGATGAATATTTTTGTTATTTTAATGATAAGCGTACTTAAAATAATTCCGCCAATTTTTTAAATCATAATTTAGAAAATGAAAATAATAGTGATTTAATAAATAACAGCTATTTTGGAAAGCAATTCAGATGCACAGGAATATTTTTAGCAATGGAAATAAATAATATATATTTTTAAATCTCACCAGCTAACAGATTTTTTTTTATTATTTAATTATATTTATTTTATACAGACTGAATAATTGTAAATGTTTTTATGGTGTTCAATGGCAATGAAGTTAAGAATTAATTCCATTGTTGTTACATGCAATAATTTGTTGGCAACAGTTTTAGCAGAATTCATTGAATGTAAATTAAACAGAAGACATTTTTGTTTTCTGTCATTTTATGTTACTAGAAGATTACAAAATCAAAACATTTATCAGTTAGTGAGCAGAAATAGTATAAGCTCCATTGAAAAAAATTAAAAAAGGAAAAAATATCACAGGTAGGAAAACTTAAAACTATAAATTGTTATAACAAAAATATCTATAAATATAACGCTAGAATTTTTATGTGAGATTTTATGCCATTAATTCTTTAAGATACAGTGGCTCACAAAAATGATCGGACGCTTTGAATTTTTGTATTCTTTAATGAACATGAAAACTAAGATAAATTTAAACAAAGAGAAAGGCTTTTATTTTGATTATATATAAATTCAACATTTTGTTTATAGTAAATGCATTTTCAAAAAGATAAAAATTAAATTCAAAATTCATTATCGTTTGTTTAATGAAAAAAAAAAAATTCTTACAATAATAATCGGATACGTTTAGAAGCAGCCAAAAAATTGCATTGATTTTGCTTCTTAATATCTCGTGGGATTGATTACCTCTACATTTGATCACTTCACTTAATATTTCGGTCATTGACTCCACAAGTTTTGTAGCCCAAAGGACGTTAGCCCAGAGGGGCTATTAATTTCGTTTCGGCATTTTGCTTTGAATCACTATAAATGTCGATTCACTTTTCAAACTGTTGCCGCCAAATATTAGAACCCTGTATTGTATTTAAAGAAATTAAATAATGAAGAATTTGCATAAATGTAGGTATGTTTCTCGCATTGTGATAAAACAACGGTACCTAGAGCCATCAAAATTTGAATATGGTACGTTTTTTATATATTGCAGACGATTATAATTAGAAGTTACGAAAATGTGTGATTAACTTTGTGATATCTTTTTTCCCCCATATCAACCTAAAATGTTATTTTTTAAATTTACATTTAATTTTTTCAAATTTATTTAGTACAACGACAGAACTAACAAAATAGTACGTATTCAAAGATAAAATATTCTTTATTATTTTATTTCAAAATTTGGTGTTACTTTGGTAGACGGTTGCACGGGGGGGGGAGAGAAAGATTTTGGCTTTTTTTTTTTTTTTTTTTCAGTCCAAAGGGATTTGAATCCCGAAGGACTATTAGTTTCGTTTTGGCATTTTGCGTCGGACGGATAAATGTCGGTTCACTTTTCAAACTGTTGCCATAAAATGTTAGAGTCCTGCATTATATTTGAAGAAATTAAATAATGAAAATCTGCGTAAATGTATGTATATTTCTCACATTGTCATAAAATAACGGTACATAGAGTCATCGAATTTTGAATAACGTAATCCTCCAACGAATATGAGCATGTGGAAGACCAAATTTGAAATTTGAAATTTGTTTTATGATCGATTTCCTATTTTTTAAAACTTTGACGAATTTTTGATTAACAAACTCAAGGATTTCAAAGCGAGAAATGGCAACGTTGTGCAGAAAAAACATTTTTATCTCCAGCGCGTGAGTCTCTGTATCGGAAATTCTAAAGATATGCTCGTTTTAAAACTATTTTGCGATATTGCTGTTGCACTGGATCTTATGGTTTAAGTGCGAGGAACATGATATTTAATAAAGAAAGGTAACACACAAAATGTTAAAAAACGCCCCTTTGGACGTAATTTAAAATCTGAAACATTTCAAATTTTTAATTATTATTTTTTTTTTTTTTTTTTTTTTTTTTTTTTTTTTTTTTTCTAGCGATACGACTTATGGTAAACCGATTGCTGGACAAGTTATTTATGGCAACCGATACTTTGTTGTCATTTTATTTTTTAAATAATGTGTTTTATTATGCATAAATTCCGTGTTTAAAATAGTATTTATGACTTCTAAATATTAAAATGAATTTAATTTTGCATTTTTATTTGAAATAAAAATTTTATTGTTTATGATATTTTGTATAATTTATGTTGTGAATGATGTAATCAATGACATCGCTTTGCTTTATAATTGGTTTTAATATCTATAAATTTAACCTAATGTCTTAAACATTATTTATGGCTGTTAAATATTAAAATACAATTTAATTTTGCATTTTTTTGAAAATTTTTTTTATTATGTATGCTTATTTAAATAATTTTAATTCTAGGCGTGATGTAATCAGCTCCCTGATTAGTTACTGAATATTTGAGCATTACCGCGCCATTTTAAAATTTTATTATTCATCTCTTCGAATTCCTTAGATTTCATGGGAAACGGATATGCCCCTTTCAAAGATTAATGTTATTATTGATAAGTACCAAGAATTATTGGTATCAGAATAAAAAAAATTGTCCTTTGAGACCTTATTTTGGCCAACCTGGCTTTCCTAATCAAAGATTTATTTATAAATTGCTACAAGGCTCAGAGGAAATTTATTTTAAATTTCTGGATTAAACCTCGCTAATTGCTTCTTCAGTGGAGTGGGAGAAATGTGGATCACAGATGAAGATCGTTAAAAGAGCCGAAAGGTCGGCCGTATATGGTATTGTAGTCACGTGAAGGAAATAACCGCTGTAACAGTAAAAAAAGTATTAGACATGCCTCCTCTTTTACGAGCAGTAAACTTCTAATTGCTGTCATTTTAGCTCTAGTGTACGAAGCGTTCTTATTTATTTATTTTAAAAGTATTTGAATTTAAGAAATATTTTAATTCTTTTAAACGTTGGTATGATTGTTTTTAATTCGATATTCAATTTACGTAATATTTTAATTCAATTAAACGTTGACGCAATGTTTTTATAGCTGTGTTTTTATTCTATTTCTTTGCTACATGAAAGTAATAATGTAACCTTACTTTAGGTTTTTATACGCGTAGTAAATGTATTTATTTAAAATAACGCCTGCCATCTGAAAAAACAACGTTTTCAACAGAAAATAAATCCATTGTTTTTAACGATATTTATTTTTTTAAAGTTTCCAATACTTTACTATGCGCAAAATACGTAAAAACAGGGTTCTTCAAAATTGCTGACGATTGTAAAAAGCGCGCCAACTATTGCGCCAAATTAAATCGCCAAAAATCCATGCAACCGTCTACCAAAATTAGCACCCAAAGTTTCTCTCCTATTACCTGAAAAAAAAAAAAAAAAAAAAAAAATAGAGTGGCCGATCATTTTTTTGACACATTGTAGCTAACTTAAGCAGCTTCTTCAAAAAGGTATAACATCTCTCAAAATGTTTCACAGCTTGCCTGTTTGCTTTGATCAAAAAGTCATTTCATATAACCGTATACTGTGCAGATGTCACTATACATGTTTTTATTTACTCCGATTTGTTTCAGATTGTTTTGTTTACATTATTGTTGATGTTTTTGTTTATATTTTCATTAGCATCCCAAGACTTTTGTGGCATGACTTTTTTCCCTTTAAAGGTAAGATACCCTTTTTGGTACTTTTCCGTTTTACCAGCGCAGGCGATAAAGTCGCTAATTATGGTACAACTGATGCCAAATGGAATATCTTCGCTGGTAACCTTTTACACCTCATTTTCAAAACAAGTCGCAGCGATTTCTTACCAGATTGATTGTTCCTTACAAATACATAGAATATTTACAAAGATAATTAAATTTTATGCCCTAAGACCATTCGCGGTAATTAAGTTAATTAGGATGAAATCACCCGAAGGCGAAAATATAGAAAAGGCAAAATCAAGGGTTAAATTCATCAATTCTAATGAGAATGCACTAACGAAGTAAAGCACTGCGATTTTACATAATTTCTGAGTAAGCTATTCGTACGAATTGAAATAATTTTTGCGTTTAGATTTGTATTCCAAATTAAGATTTAACTTGAAATTAATTTAGATAATTACTGAGCGAATTATATTTTTGTAGCGTAGTTTACGTGAGATGAGATCACTTGGGGTAACGTGATACGAACCGGCGAATCAGGATGTTGAACCATTATAGCATAGTAAATTCTTAAATTAATGTCTTTTTACAATTTTATTGCCTTTATTTAGTGGCTTTTTACAAAAATTTAAACCATATTAAAATGTTTATGCCTTCAAAATAAAAAATTCTTAGAACTAACATTTGTTAACATTTTTTATGTGTATACTATATGTTGTCGCCAACAAAGTTTGCTTGGAGAGATTTGCGACGGCGAAACGGAAAAGTACCGAATAACAGATTTCAAAATTAAAATTTTTATCTGCTTGAACGCTTTCAATTTTGATAAGATGAAAAGCTATTAAGATCGTGTTATTGTTGTTGTTACTTATCTAAGCCCACGAATTATTATCGTCGCAAAGAGTACAAAAAAATCAAAACCTTGAGCACTATTCAGGTGACATGCTTAGTCCGCTCAATCATTATTCTTAGTTCCGCCTCAATATTAAAAGACAGAATCCCGGGAGAGGCGAATCTAAGGGTGTCCTAGCCCTCTTCACCTGCCACCAACCTAGCAATCCCAATCTGCACAGACACTATTCATTTATAAGCATCCGTGCCTTCTCCGGCATTCGAACACGAGCCCTTCGGTACGGCAATCAGTGTTGCTAATCACTTTCCCGTTATTTTCCCTAGCCACTCCACTTACGGTGTCAGCTGCTAAAGCGCGCATATGTGAGTCAACAATGAGAAGGACGCTAGTTGCCAAGCTGAAGACCTTACAACAGATTGCGAATTTTCAATCCTTCGCTTTCAGAATGTATTGCAATAAATCTTTGTTTTAAGATATTATATCTTTCAGTAGCAGGAGGCTTTAAAATGATATCGCTAATAGAATGTTGTGATTTATCTGACTTGTCTGTTCACGAAATTCATCGTGGCAAAGAGTGCAAACCTGCGTCGGTCGTTGGCAAGAGCCTTGAGCACCATTCAGGTGACAGTACGACTTTGCTCAGTTCTGCCCTCAATTTTGATGGAGAGTACTTCGTAACGCCACCTAAGAGGCTTCCGACATAAGGCAAAAATCAAACGGAATAATGCCTGGTCGGTGTAAAATCTACTAACCAACATCTTCCACCACCAAGAAGGGCAGAGATGACAGATGAATGTACTTAATCAGTGGCTATTTGTTGCAGAGTTAGAGAGAGAAACTAAGACATTTTCATGCAATTCATCGACTAACTCATTTTAGAAGTTGTAATTAAATTTAAAAGAGTTAAATCAAAGTAAAAGGGTGAAAGGTAATCATTGATGACAATTTGCAATCAGAATTGAATAGGACAGAGTGAAAACAATATTAGTTAATATGATGCCAGTAAGTTCTAATCCAGAGTTTATAAGTCTCTACGATTCTTGTCACTACGATAGACGTTTTACTAATTTTGCAGTTCACTTACAAGCATTATTTATTTACTTACTAAACAATCCCCCATGCCTCCCCCAGTCATTATCAGATTCTTTTTTGCATTCAGTTATTTATCAAATTAAATTAATTTCATTGGGCTTTCAGAATTTTAATATGAATCCAATCAATTTTTGTCCTGACGTTTCTAGTTATTGCATACAGTATACAATAAATACAATACACTACAATAGAATACTATATACCACATATATACACGTACAGCTGCAATGTTTGTTCAATATGAGCTTCTGACCAACAATATACAATTAAAATACATAACACATACAACATACTAATTACTTGCAATTCGCAAACGTGCATTATACGCATACAATATACACATACCATATACAGTTAAATACAAATACTTATTGGTAGATAAAACCTAATTGTTACGCTGTATAGAATGACGTGCACACAATATACAATATTCAATACGGTTCAGTAGAATACAGTACATCTACTATATCTTTATATATATAAGCGGCTAAAGTGTGTGTCGCCGATAGTTTATTGGTTGCTTGCGTAACTGTACTAGCCAATGGGGTGAAGTTGCCACGGCACAGGGTTGCCGTTTCAATTGAGACGTAGACACTTTCCTGTAAAACTTGCCTTTGCTATTACCATCCATAAGTCTCAGGCCAAACGCTTAAGCGCGTTGGCATTGTTTTTACCTGAGCCTGGATTTGAACACGGTCAACTTTATGTTGCCTGTTCAAGAGTTCGTGAAAGAACGGACGTAAAATTAAAAATAATGGATGGTCCTCTGCAAGGCGAGCTTAAAAATGATGAAAAGATCTACACAAGAAATGTTGTGTACAAAGAGATCTTTGACATGTGAATTGACATTTTATTAGTTAAATCACGTTTATTTATTGAGCTAGCAGTGGCTCTTAAGAAATCTACCGCCAGTGGTTTCCTTCATTGCACTCTGCTTTAAGCAATTAAGCAAGTAGAAAGGGGAAACCCGTGGGGCAGTAAGCAAAGGGGCGTCCTCGCCGCCTGCCCTGGGTAATTCAGTTTGAATTAGCAGACACTTTTGCACAAATCATTTTAATTACAATTTATAATATCTAGAACAGCGGTCTTTTCGTATGACCGCCGGGCGTTCTAGTATAGTATATGCATGTATAGTTGCAATGTACTTTCAATACACACTTCTAGTTAACAATATGCAATTAAAATACAAAACACATATAATTTACTAAATACTTGCAATTCGCGATGTATGTGAAATATACACAAAACATATACAGTTAAATACTTATTCACACATAAAATCTAATCATTACACTGTATATACAATACTACATACCATATAAAATAGGCAGATTAGGAAAGAGATAAATAGCGCTGTACTACTTGTATTAGTATACCATACATGTACGTCCCTCAGGGGCTCCGTTTCTGTGAGTACGGGTATGGCAATTCCGAGGTACCCTTAGTCTTTCAGGGGGTCATCTTCTTGGTGGAACGGGTGCTATGACCCTGGAGCACCAGTGATCTATCCTCTTTTCCGTCTCCTCTTCTCGAGAAAGTCGACTGTGGGAATTCAGTTTGCGCATAAATCTGGCTAGCCGTAACACAGGATTCTGTATTCCTTTGTTGGGCTCCGTGGTGGGCGGGGCAGTTCGACCCGAATCTTTTATCTTTCCAATATGGTTTCACAATTTTTTATGATAAAAATGTCTGATTCTAAGGAAACCCATTCTGATACTGCAATTAGTGACAGAACTATTGTCAAGAAAATACGTACCAAAGCAAATGAAAAAAAAAAAAATCTAATTGTCCATGCTTCCTTGTTGTTTCCAGTCTTTCTGGGGAATTGCAAAAGATGTCTCCTTTCCTGGTAAGCAAATACATCCATTCATGCGTAGGTGAGCCACGGAACATAAAGCGTCTTCGTTCTGTAGACTTGCTTATTGATACCGTTTCGGCTATCCACTTTTTCAAACCAAACTTGGACAAGTATCTATCTTTATATACTTAATCAGTGTCAGCGCACAAAATACTGAACTACCGTAGAGGTGTAATCTCGAAAATTGACCTCCTGCTTGTTTCAGAAGAAGAGTTCGTTTCCGAGTTAGGTTACCAAAAGGTTTGTGCTGCTAAGCGGATTGTAGTGTCGCTTCAGTTCCGTTAAGTTTCTAATGAAATTTAGTTAAAGCGGAATGGCAACACCTTCTAGTCTCCGCGAAGAACGAAGTAAACAAACTTCGAGTTTTTGTCACGCGATGCTACGTGCATGTAAAATGTAAATAAATCTTATGAATAAGAATCTATAACATCGTAAGGAATAAAATATTGGTTCCATAGGAGTCAGAGAAGTGTTATTTTTCTATATTTGCACACCAGACACTTCACTGGTGTATCCCGGCGTGATCGAATTCTACAATGGCTGACGAAGACGAAACCGAAATTAAAGCAACAACTGCATCTGTCGCCAAGGTAAGCGTTAAAGTTCCTCCTTTTTGGAAGCAAGATCCTAAAATATGGTTTATTCAACTAGAAGCACAATTTAGAAATGTAAAAATTAGTGCAGATCAAACAAAATATGATTATGTTATAAGTTCCATTGAACCCGATATTTTGTCACAGGTATCTGATATTTTGCTAAGTCCACCACAAGATAATAAATATGCGGCAATTAAAAATAGACTAATTTCATTATATGCTGATTTAGAGACTCAAAAAACCCAAAAATTACTGAGTGAGTTAGAACTGGGTGACAAAAAGCCATCTCAATTACTGTGTGAGATGCGTAATTTGGCTGGCGATAAAGTAACAGATACTTTCCTAAAAACAATGTGGCTACAACGTTTACCCGTTAATATGCGTAGCATTATATCTGTTAGTAGTGAAGATTTGTCAAAAGTGGCTACAATGGCCGATAAGATTTGGGAATTAAACCCTGTTACTACCCAAATAGCTGCTGCATCATCCATAACGGTAAAAACGGAAGTGATTGAAAGTTTACAAAAACAGGTTAGTGAACTTAGCTTACAAGTTTCTGCTTTAAACAAGCAACGCCACAGTCGTCCCTATTGTCGTAACCGATCCAAATCAAGAGATAGGA